CTTGTCATAAGTGAGTAAAGCCAAGGGAGGTGGGCCCCCCTCTGCGTTTTTGGATACTGCTGCCGGTGGGTGAGTGTCTGCCCATAACTTCCCCCTGGTAGTCTCCTGGTCTCTGGGTCCCCCACTGTGCTGTCTGTCCCCCTGGGTCCGCCTGCTTGCTCTCCCCAGGGACCTATGCCTCCTCAGATCTCCCTCCTTCATCCAACTGCATGTTGCAGAATAAATTTTGTGCCCCGAATGGAATTGGCAGTGAGTTTACAAATTGTGGAGCTTAGCTTTTGACCATTCACGGGCGCAGAGGTATTCACAATAGTGCTGGCTCCTGTCCTTGCACTGTTGCATTTTATAGGATGTCCACATGGTAGGACCTTTTCAACGACCTTCTACTAAAGACACGGTTCGAGCGGATACTGTTAGCCGATGCCCAGAGATGTTTCGGGTGTATCCTCAACCTTCTGAAGTCAGCACTGGGTCCAACTCATCATCTGGAATACTTGGGTCGTCTCCTAAATACAAACCAGGCCCAGGTGTGTTTTCACCCAGTGAACCGAAGATCAGCCCTTGGTAAGATTCTGCATGAGGGTTCTGGGTCAGATGGTGGCCACATTTAGTTTCACACAGGCCACTTTAATAGGGCATCCTAGCTGCATGGGATGAATTGACAGGTTCTCTGGATTGTCCTACGCGTCTGTTGGTCAAGGCAAGACTTCCGCTGGCTTGGTGGAATCCAGTCCGGTTGTAGAAGGCAGGGAAGTATTTCATTTCACCGCACTGGAAGGTATAACAATGGATGCCTGCCTGTTAGGCTGGGGAGGTGTCCACAGGACCTCAAACATAGAGAGGACCTGGTCAACGAGGCAATCCAGGAAAGTTATCAGTACTGTAGCTGAGAGCAATTCTAATCTGCCTGCAGTGCTGGAGATGTGTCACTTTCAGGGGAGGCTGACAGGGTCCAGTCTAAAAAACGCCATCAACCATCAAGGATGAATCGGATGTCACGTGCTTAAAAAGAAGCAGACTTGATTATGGCCTGGGCAGGACTTGGGGGGGAGTGGGGTGGTATCTACTACACCCTGAAGTATTTGATGAGACTTGCTGCCTCTGGGGGATGCTGGGCTTTAATTTTTTTGGCTTGTTCCAGACTCTGCAACAACCTGGACTGGTTTGTCTCATGATCCCCCTGAGCCTTTGCAGTGAATGCTCTGGTGACTCTGTGGGATCAATTCTCTACTCTGATCTACTCTTTTTCCTCCCTTGAGGACCCTTCCTCATCCGCTTCACATGATTGAGGCGGAGAACATTCCAATGCTTTTTGGGGCTCCCAACTGTCCCAGTAGGGTGTGGTACACTAATGTTATTTGGCTTCTAGTGGACTCTCCATGGCTGCTTCCAGACCACCCTGATCTACTGTCTCTGGATTCGCTGTGGTTATTCTTGGTCGCTGGCTTTAATGACTTGGCTATTGAAACCCAGGCCCTGAGGGATAAGAGGTCTGTCTGAATTTGTTATTCCTAATGTTTTGCATGCTAGGATGTCCCCCTTCTTGGAATGTGCACCACCACACCTGGAGAGCTTATTTTGCTTGGTGCAAATAGCAAAAGTTTCATCCTCTGCATACTCCGTAGGACGCTGGCCTTCCTCCAGTCAAAACTGAATAGTCGTATAGCTCTGAGCACTCTCAAGGGCCAAATTTCAGCCTTGGCCATTATTTTTTAGCATTCACTGGCCTCTCAGTAAAGGCTTTTGTGCAGGCGATATCTCATTTGGCTCCCCCTTCTCGCCCTCCAACAACGCAGTAGGATCTCAATCTGGTGCTTTCATCTCTCCAGCGAGCTCCCTTTTAAATCTTGTGCACAAAGTAGTCTTCCTTGTTCCTCCATTACAACTGCTTGGAGGGTGTTCGGAGGGGGCAGCACTGTCTACTGTTTTTTGTTCTTCACAAGGATAAGGTTCTTCTTTGGCTCTTTTTTTTCTAATTCATTGTCCTCATTTCACCTTTTTATCCTGCTCTCAAACATCCTACGGAGGATTCCCTCCTCTGTTTAGATGTGGTTTAGACTGTCTGAGTTTACCTATCAGTTACAGCTCCTTTCAGGCAATCCAATTGCCTATTTCTGAAGAACTTCTCTGGGGATTCCCTGCATTTCATTTCTCGGTGGGTTTGACAGGTCATTGTGCATGCCTGTCCTGCTAAAAGTAAGTCTTTGCCTTTTCCTGTAAAGGCAAATTATACTAGATCTGTCAGTTGGCCTTTTGGCATCAAGCATCTGCTCTGCAGATTTGTAAGCCACGTGGCCTTCTGTTCAAACATTAAGACCCCGTTCACATTGAGCGATTTATCGCGCGGTAATTCCCGCGATATCGCGGCAAATGACCGCGCGATATCGAGCTCCAATGCAATCCAATGGGGCAAAGGGTCCTGCTGTCGCGGGTCGTGTGTCGCTACAGCAGGACCCTTTTTGGAGCGGATTTAGCCGCGATTCAAGCTTGCTCAATGCAAGCTTGAACGCGACATCGCGCGGCAAATCTCGCGATGTAGCGCAATATGCAAATCGCGCGACAAACGCGCGATTTGCATATCGCGCAGTTGGAACGGGGCATTACTCTGTTTTACAGGGTGGATGTAGTCAGTTTTACAGAATGAATGCTCAGGCCTCTGCTGATAATTTGGATTGTAAGGTGCTTCAGGTTGCTGTCTGAGTAGGGATTTTCCCCTTTGTTTTGTGGGCTCGTGGCAGTTGTTTGCTGTGTTGCCCACCTTTTGAGCCAAGAAAATAGGCCTTAGCAGTAAAATCAGTGTCTTGAGGTATAGTACAAGGCTCTGGGCCCTCCCCTCTGTGTCTATTGTTTGAAAAAAAAAACTAATGATTTCTGGTAGTGGGAGGGGGTTTTATGAGGGTACTCACAGCTCTGGCCAGTGTCCAATCACCTGCATATTACCCAGTCATCTCTGAATCTGCCTGTGTCCCTTACTGTACTCCGAGAACAGTAAAACAGAAAAAAATCCTGTTTATCTTTAGTCAAAAAGATGTTATGGTTGGAAAATGTTCATATTGGAGACTCTTATTTGTTTGTTACATCACTTGATAACCCACTGATGGACAAATTAATATGCAATTCAGAAGCCAGTTTGTCTAATCCAGGAGTCGGTAGGATTTTTTTTTTTTAGGTGCCAACTCCATTGGCAGCAACTAGAGAAAACCTTCAAAGTTAGGTGCCAGCTGTAAGTGTTAAGGAGTATTGGCTACCTAGCTCCTTAGACATGTTCTAGTCAGAGGACTCCAAACTTGAATTTTAGTTACTTTTTTTAACAGTTAAATGCCAGCATTCCAAGAATGTAGTTTGTACACATTATGGTACATATGTTGTGTTCTGTAATTAGGCACACCAATTAAAACTGAATAGAGAACATTTTCCATGAGCGCACATACCAATTGTATAGACTGTGCAGCTTTACTAGGCATTCTAGGACTTAAGGGTCCCTTTTTGCTAGAGATTGGTCAGGTGGGACGCCTCCATCCATCACAGGACACTGGTCACTTCTATCTAGTTGTCAATGAATGTATGTCGAATAAGTCTTTTTATTTGAGCAGTATTTGAATGGGGAGGCCTGAAATGTGTCTTTGACAAGGGCTCCTGACTACCATGTATGCAACTTTTTTTGCCAACCAAATAGACCACTTTTCATCCAGACATTGCCATACTGCACTGGTCACCCAACTTTTTTTTTCCCAGTCTGTAATCTGATTCTGAAACTTTCATGCACATTTTATTGCTAACATCTATTGGTCACAAATAAGGCAATGTTTGTTAATCCCTTCAAAGTTTGGAGATATATATATATATATATATACAACCTTCCAAGTTAGACATTGGATTTAGCTATAGCCCTGGCTATTAGTTTTAAGTGATATTTTTAAGTGATATATATTTTCAATTGAGTGATGTCTGTCTCGATTAAAAACCGTTTTTTTCTGAATGCCAAGTAAATTCAATTGATGAAAATGTGTGTCTATATATCATTGTTTTTAGTAATTTCTTGGCTTAACAAGCAGCTGAATGAAAACAAACTTGCATCCCTGCAAGGGCCACAAGCGCTGCATGAAATGCCTGGCTCATTCAAAACCTGCAGTCCAACATCAAACATTGGCACAATACACACCAATCAGGTAATTTATTTTTCTGTTGTATCGAACAATATATTTCTTAAGCTACATTTTTATTTTCTGCTGTTCCAGAGTTGTTAAGCATCCACGTATCAATCCACAGTCACATTTTTCAAGTGTAGACTCTCACTATGTTTTCTTATTGTAAATTGATTTTGTGCCTACTGTGTTCTCTCCCACTTGTATATCATTTGATTGTACTATAAAGCCTACCTTTTCAGTTTTCTGATTCATGGTACCTACACAGTAGCTTGACTTTTTAAGAAGCAAATCCCGATTTTTCTCAACTGCTCCTAAAATATGTTATGTCCAAACTGAAAGAGTAACAGAAAGTGAAACTGCAATGTGAAATGTTTCCAAAATATGTCTAGTATTAAGTTTAGTGCCTTTTTTGGGGGGATACTTAAAGGTACTCTGCCATATATTTAGATAACTATTGTTCGTACAAACAATAACACTACCAGGGTGATTTTCAGTTACCTACAAAATCCAACGTGGGCAAATCACCGCACAACTATGTGAGCATATACTATTTTCCTTTATTGGTAAGATGATCTGCTCATATCCACCGCCTGGATCCTTCTTACATGTGATTTGTAGATTCTTCTTCCCCCCAAAAGGTTTAATGGTATAACACTGTTAAAATGTTTGCTGCAACTACTACTTCACTCCTGGCAGTGTAATAATGTGTATTAACCATTGTCAGTTACTTTTGCAGGACAGTTTTTTGGGTGCTCAAAATGAAATATACTGAATATGATCATTACGTTAGCTGCATGTAATATTTTTATTGATATTTGTCCTTAAACGTCATACTTCTAATATGATATCTGTACTGCCTGTCAATTCTTCTTAGTTGTTAAAGGTTTGTCTGAGCTCTGTTACAGAAATGATTAGCAAAACTGGAATTATCTGGAGCTGTGGATATTTGTTTAGGGAAACCGCAACTTGTGTCATTTAATATATGTATATATCTATTTTCGCCTGCACCCAAGGAATATTTTCTATAAGCTCCCCAAAAGACCAAAACATACACAATCATGAGGTATTGTTTTTGTTTTTAAGCCAAAATACATATGCTTACCACCCACACCAAAGGTTCTCATGTCTGGTGAGCACTATGCTAACACTTGTTAATGGTTACCTGAGCACTGGTATTTTTTATTTTTTTTATCTATATCAAAATTCCGATTTCTCTTTCCTGCTACAGTGAAGACAGTATTGTTTACCAGAGCAAACTCTTTTTTACTTCTGTAATTGGCTCACTGCCCCACAGCCAGAATACTGCTTCGAGCTAACAGCCTTCTATATATTTGTTTCTTATTAGAACAAGACACGACTGGCAGTTCCCTTTTATATTTTAGTGCACTGGAAATGTAATGCTTTAGATATCTGCAAAGAATGTTGTAGGTCTAAGGACATGTTGGAGGTGCAGTGTTTCTTATGGTGGCCATACATTGTACGATTTTCGTTTGGAAATCGTACACAAACAGTCTTTCTGACGGCAATGTAACAGTTTATGGTGCATGACTGATTTTTGTTTTTGATATTGTGATATAAACGTTTTTCTGACCTAATGAAAACCGATGAATCAGTGGAGTTTTCGTTCATCAAAAACCTCAGCAAGAACACGGCACATGCGCAAAAGGAAATGATTTCCATAATTTCTCAGAAATTGGTTGGTTAGTATGACGAACAAGCGATTTCCAAAATTGACATTTGACCATGCTTGATGGGAAAGTCTAGGTATAATCAAACGAGGGTTCGTGCCAGAAACGGCAACTTTCGTACGAAATTCATACAATGTATGGCCACCTGAACGGTGTAATTTATCACTGAGTAGAATTTCCCATGACCTAACACACAAGTGCATTTCAATAGCCTATCTCAGTATCTGTGCTCCAAAAGCAGGTTATTCCATATCATTGCCTATAACTCTGTGGTAACTTATTGGTAAGACAGTCTTCCCTGTAACCATTACTTTTTGGCTTTTTCCTGCTTTGCCATATTGTTTGCTTGTTTTTGAAAAATTAAGTAGATGTATGAGCTGGTGTTTCCTTAATAGGTTGATATGCCAGTTCCTATAGTTGTCGTCATGTATGCGCACTGTGGAAGGGCAGCATTTGGCAACAGTGTTAAAAATAAAATTAACATGCTATTGTGAGTGCGATCTTTCAGTGGTTTCTAACTGTGACTAATTTCACATCACAAACTTTAACGCACCAATGGCCCATTTGTTTATCAACTTCAGGAAGTTTGTATGTGTAGGGGACTTGGTACACGCTTGTTACTTAAATATTATGGTTTATATAGAGTGTAAAGCACTTTTTTCTTGCTAATGCGCTACATGGTTTAATTTAAGATCTGCTAAGTATTCTAGTTATGCTAATTGGTTGCTTTAAAAGAATTCTCGTCATTAATCAGGCATCTTGATGCAAACACCAAGCAAATTAACATCTATTGGACTTGGCCTTTGCATTTGCTCTTTAAAGATCAAATACAAAATCACATTGACTAAGTGTCTTTTAATTATTGTGGGTTTTTTTAATGGTGGAATCAATGACCTCTAATCAAGGTAAAGTGTATTTTCAGTAGCTTATGCTTTTCATATAACCCTGCCTTAATTCCTCATGTGCTTTCTCTGTTTTCTGTCTGAAATTTAGGGAGGAAGCCTATTGGTGAAATAATGGATTGTGATTTTAGTCCTGGAAAAGGGGAGGCATGTTTTCTATAATAATGTAGCTGAGACTATATAAGTAATTCTGCCATGGGTTGTACCCCACTCACCCAACAGTGTAGACCTCTTTAGCATTGAAATGATGGCTACCAGAAACACATAATACCGGGCCTTCTTTGAATATACACAAATAGGGGAATAAGGAGTTACGCTGTAAACAACAAATAGTATATATCAGTCTCCAGGGATTCCGTAAACTAATTCAAAAAAATGTGTGGCATCCCCTAGACAAAGAAATCCCTTAACTGGAGCTGGTCTGATAAACAGGTAACACAATTAATATAGTTATGTATAAAAGACAATATTTAATGGTAGGAAAATTACACATAGGATCAACTATTACAAGACATCTAAAAACAAATAAAACAACATCCCCTGGATAACCCAATTGAAATGGTACGGGTGATGATCTATGAACCACCTGAGTGGCAGATGGTCACTAAAACAGGCACAAATGCTGTGTTTCAAAGATGGATACAAAGTATCAGAGCTTACTCACATCCTGTGTGGCTCAAGATGAGGGGCAGTCCTTGTAGGGTCCCATGTTTAAGCATGGATGGATTATTTCAATGGAGCATATGCTTTTGTGGTATTATAACTCCAGAAGATTCTTTTCCTTGTAAATCCAAAGGCTCTAATGAGCGTGTCTCCCCCAGCTTGTTTGAACTCACACTGATCCGCGTGATTCAAACACTTCCTGATCCGGAGAGGAATCCGGGGGTTTTCCCAGCATGTGCGGCCGCACAGCAAGATGGAACAGGGTGGAATCCCCACGGTTGATGATTCAAACACTTCCCGATCCGGAGAGGAATCCGGGGGTTTTCCCAGCATGTGCGGCCGCACAGCAAGATGGAGCAGGGTGGAATCCCCACGGTTGATGTGTCAGAAGCACACTAGACCGGAAAACTGTGTAAGATCAAGCAGCATCAGCCCACAGGCTTTTCTCGGTCTCGGTTCAAAATCCCACAGACTTCACTGCTGCTACGATGTGACAGTGTTCAGATAAACTCTGCTCCGTCCTGTCAATTGGCACAAAAGGCTATTTAGTTCACCCGACCATAGGTGAGATATACGGGTATCCCGGGAGGTCTGAACACACGCTAACCCTTTTAGGTGGACATGCTGGGAAAACCCCCGGATTCCTCTCCGGATCGGGAAGTGTTTGAATCCCGCTGATCAGTGTGAGTTCAAACAAGCTGGGGGAGACACGCTCATCAGAGCCTTTGGATTTACAAGGAAAAGAATCGTCTGGAGTTATAATACCACACAAGGATATGCTCCATTGAAATAATCCATCCATGCTTAAACATGGGACCCTACAAGGACTGCCCCTCATCTTGAGCCACACAGGATGTGAGTAAGCTCTGATACTTTGGGGTTGATTTACTAACCTTATAAACACACCACGAACATGTATACACCTCTGTAGTGTGTTCCCTCCCAGCATGATCTATGGGTGGAATCTAAACACCTTTATAGTGTGTACACACCCAGCAGGTGTGTTGTGCAAAGCCCTGCCCTGAATTGCAAGGTGATGTTGTGTAAATTAGCTCTATATTGTGTTGCTTGCGTTGATGAATGCAGGAATGTAAATGCATGAGCTAACCATTTTTGCCTAAACTATGAAGCAGCATTATATATGCATCATGTGCATGATTTTTCCATATATGGCATTAGTGTAAATATGCTTATAGAGACTTTTTGGTTGATAAATACGCTTTGCTGTGTAAAAATCACACGCACCTGGTGCATGCGTGTGTTTAGGTTAGTAAATCACCCCCTTTGTATCCATCTTTGAAACACAACATTTGTGCCTGTATTAGTGACTATCTGCCACTCAGGTGGTTCATAGATCATCACCCGTACCATTTCAATTGGGTTATCCAGAGGATGTTGTTTTATTTGTTTTTAGATGTCTTGTAATAGTTGATCCTATGTGTAATTTTCTTACCATTAAATATTGTCTTTTATACATAACTATATTAATTGTGTTACCTGTTTTATCAGACCAGCTCCAGTTAAGGGATTTCTTTGTCTAGGGGACACCCTTCTTTGAATATACCCTCACCGGCCACTTTATTAGGTACAGCTTGCTAGTACCGGGTTGGACCCACTTTTGCCTTCAGAACTGCATTAATTATTTGTGGCATAGATTCAACAAGGTGTTGGAAACATTCCTCCAGAGTTTTTGGTTAATATTGACATGATAGCATCACACAGTTGCTGCAGATTTGTCAGCTGCACATCCATGATGCCAATCTCCCGT